GTCCATATCAAAGATACAGTACTCAATCTTGGGTTTTACTTCCGACATCATCAAGGGGTTCTTGTTTCTTGTTTGGTAGTTCAAGCGGTAGCTTATCTGGTTTTATGACGATATGTAAGGTGTGTGTGTGCGCCAAGACAGCGGTACGAAGACTGACGAGAGATGCGCGGGAGCTGGCGGGTCAAGGTGAGTGAGTACTGTACCTCAGAGAAGAGAGAAGAAATTACAGTACGAAGCGAAGACAGAAGTCGACGGCGCGGATCGAGAGGGGGAGACACAAACATCCCGCTGACAGGCCTCCACCCGATATCCGACGTCCCACCGTACTCATACCGTACAAGCAAGCCTTAGCAAGACGATCTGGCATTGAATTGCGCACGTCAGTCACATCGACCGGGACCAGTACCTGTTGAGCTGGGCCTCCGGGGTTGTGTGTATGCGACGATTGCACGAACACGAATCAGACATACGAATGTTGATCATGCACATGTGCAAAGGGATCATTGTGGGCGGCCTCCTCGGGTCCCCTCAATTCAATGCTTGTAATATCATTTGGCATGTCGCGAGTCTATGATACAGTTCGAACGCGAGGCCGTAAAGTGCGTCGTACGTCTTCCGTCCTACGTTAGAGCGGGACTCGTAAAGGCACATACCTCCTACTCCTTGCTCTTCGTTCAGCTGGTCTTGGCACGGAATGTGACTTGTCCTATCGCAGAGGAATCCTATCGTCAACGGAAGCGTAATAGCCCATGCTACTCGTTTTTTGTATGGGTCTGCATTCCGTCAACCTGCTATGAGTAGTTGATTGTAGCTAGCTACTGTGTGTAAGTCCAGTACTGCAATGCCCATTGTTGAGAATGTATGGGGCGATATTATTGCATGTTTCCTAATAAATGTCCCTTTGATACACTTTATGGTTTGATAAGACAGCCCATAGCTGAACTGCCAGAAAAAGGCAGTATATGACCACTATCCTGGTTGTATCCGAAAGAAAGCAAAGAAGAAAAATAAGGGCAATTGTCCATTGTGGTGTAATTTTGTCTATAGATGAGTTTGTAGATATTTGGGTTTAATTGATGGATGATGCTACAGTTGGCTCTATAAATGCCTTGGTTTGGTTTCCGTTTGGTCTGTTCTGCCTTTCCGTCCTTCCGTCCGTCCGTCCGTCCGGTCCGACTGACTTACTGGCTTGATGGTCAGTCTATTATATAGTTGTGATCCGGTACCCGAGCAGGTATTTGAGATGCCCAAGTGTTTTTATCCCAATACGACCTGGGCTGCTTCTTCAGGTTGACCGTCGACGGTGACTGCTGTTACGGGTGTGGCAGGAACGATCGTTCCCTTCTTGACGCATGTTTGTCGATCGGGCGAAACGACGTATCCGTCAAAGCATGAGTAGACTTGGCATGAGCCGGCCTCGCATCCTGTCGCCCGGGCGTTGGCTATCAGGGAGCAATCTTGTCTGTGAGACGAAACAGAACAGGCAGGTCATCAGCAATGTCCAAAGGGTTCTACTGATTATCACACGCGTTTGATGCGAACGGAAGTGGCGCCAAAGGACGCGCAAAGAAGAAGAAAAACGAAAAACGCCAACTCACCCAGCACCAAGAGCCAAACAACCACCACAAGAATTCAACTCGGTATCCAGTTCTACACACTCGAATCCAACTTTGAACCAATCCGCCAAAGACTTCAGACTTGACTCCAATTTCGCCGCCGATTCAGGTGTTACTTGATCCAGTGAGGGCGGGAGGATGGGACACGCGACTGATCCACCAGGACATAAGAAGGATGAGTAATCCTTCTTGGCGACTGGCTCAGCGGTCCGCTTGGCCCGTTTCTGCGCGCCCATACGCCTTGATGGTTGAGGTGCTCGAGGCTGAAGTTTTGTGGGCGCGTCGGCGGCGGCTGCGGCAAGAGCGGGAGCGGCGATGGAGAGGAGTGGAGCGGCGAGGACAAAGAGGAAGATGAGTCGGTGAACGACAGGCGGTAAGGTGATCATCTTGATTTAGATTATTTGCAATGTCTGGGATGTTATAAGATGTGTTTGCCGTGTGGGCGTAGGTAGTTGGCGATAGATTAATGGAAATATAGAATAAAAAGTGATAGATGATGATGTTATGGAATGGAATGTCAATGGAAGAAGATGGATGTGTTAACGCGACAATGGCGTGTAGTTATAACCACTCTAGAGACAGGATTGAAAGAGAAACTCGTCGGAAGGGGCGGCGACGATGCAATATCACAATTAAGCTTGTTTGTTGACTCTGATTTCCGACCGATCCTGCTGGCCGTGCGTTGTCAATCGAATCAAGTCGCTTGGTTTTTCTTCTAGTCGGTCTCGGTAAAAACTGGTAGCGTACGTTATCGATTCAGTATGGAAAGTAAACAAAGCTTCTACTGTTCGATAATATCGGTTGGTTCGAAAGGAATGCGCCAGCTTCTTTTCTGGGTCGGAAGAAGCAGACAAAGATGCCGTGTTTGAACGATCGCCGGAGAAGACGTCGAGACGTGTCCGAGAGAAAGAAGGCCAACCGATGAGACGAAGAAGGGATTTGCCACGATTCCGCAGATAGTCCGATTCAAGTAGCGTGTGAAGTGTGCGTGGGATAGAAACGCGATAGTACTGCGTGCGGCCTTGCTGACTTTCGGCGATGGATGATGATAGTACTCGTACTGTCCTCTAGAGGCGTTTGTTGTTGTGCTTCTTGGAAAGAAAGCCGGATAGTCCCTGTCGCTGATCCGAAGTGCACGTCCGCCGTGATCTATGAATTGTGATCTGTGATGATCGAACTCCTTGCTTCCCTTGACTGCCTTGACTGCTCTTGTCTGTGCTTGGTGTGCAGTAGTGTGTGTGTGTAGATGAACCGTTCCCGTGAGATATGTCAAATGATGAGCAAGCAACGATGAAGGATGCAATGATATGAAGTCTGAAGAGAGATGAAAGAATGCAGGTAAGAAAGGGTTTTCTGATGATGAAATGATATATTCCTTCTGATGTACTCTCAGAGCAAAACACAATAAGAACGCCTGCAGTCGGTGGGAGAAAAACCTCCCGCATGCTCCTAGTGTACGAGTACTGTTCAAGCACTGAGCGCGGCATAGCAATGCGATGGGTCGCACGTCAGAGCGAAGCACCAGAATGAGTTAGCGTCGAATATTGGGCGCCCTCTCCTTACGGACAGCAGACAGGGGGGGGGAGGGTGCGATTATGCAATTTCCGAGGGTCATTGACTTATTAGTCGCACCGCTGCGGTGCTTCACAGCCTGTTGTTGAAATACTGCAAATGGGGTAACGGCGACCCGGCTGTGACGCCCTGCGATGCATATGTAGACGAATTAGACCAGGGTTGCGACAACTCAACGCTCGCAACAATTATTCTTTTTATTGCTGCAAGTAGATAAGAATGGTTAGGAGGGGTAACTCGCAAGCTGAGTGCAAAAGCCTCGGAAGGGCAAAAAAGGGGTATAGGGTACAAGAGAGTCTAATTGGATTTAGGTACTCAAAGCACAAAAAGCCCTGAAGAGGAAAAAGCCGAATACCTCGAATGCGGGAGATCGGCCATTGCATTGCATACGGTTAGAATTCCTGGTGAATCCTGGACTAACGGTATAGCACAAAGCTGCAGTAGAGTCGAGGCCCCTATAAAATAAGGGAGAAGAAGTGCAAATTGTCTCACAGCGTTTTTGCGCTAGTATGAGACATCCGTTTGGGAGGCGGCCAAGTAACCCCTGTACGTAAGAAGAGAAACAAGGATAAATCTGGTTCTTGTGCCGTCATTCCGAACCAAGTCTATGTTTATGCCTTGTTCTGCTGTGTTTGGCGATTTTGGTTGCTTGCAATTGGTTTTGGTGAGGTAATACTGTTTTTCCGGACTGAGATGGGAACGTCCTCCGTTATGCTGTTTTTGACATCCCATTTCCGAGGTCGCTTCTTGTTTGCTTGACCCGAGATAAGACAAGACAAGACACGACGTGACACGACGACTCAAAAACATGAACCGGTCAGTCAGGTTTCAACTGCTCCGAACCTGATAGACAGCTCTGTTTCATCTCTCATCTCTGATAACATGCTAGACAATCACCGAAAAGTGGCACAGTATCTCTATCTTCTTTCTCTCAGTTTCAACCGCGACATACATCGCACCGTTCATTCTCCAAAGCACATCCATACGCAGAGTGATACCCGGTCAGTCGCATGGCTTCTTCTTCATCGTCGCCTTGGCAAGATGAGATGGCGCGCACGTAGAAGCAATGCGGAAGCCTTTTCGGGTAAACATCACCCAACCCAACTTACCATAACGTTATCGTCTGCCACTCTGCTCGATACATATTCATAGCCGAACAATCTTCTGCCTGCCAGCCAGCCATATGGACGAAAAGGAATATTCTGTCGTTAACATCACATCACATCCCATCCCATCCGCTTGGCATTCTGCTCACTATTCCTGTCGACCATCCATGTCGTGTGTATCGGATGTGCGTCTCAAGGCACCGCATACGCACTCAACTCACAGAGAGAACTGACGAGCACGAGCACAAAAAGAGAGAAGCACAAGAGCACGAAAGCACACACACACACGAAAATATGGAAGCAAAGAAGCACAAGAGCGCAGGGCGCAGGGCGATGAAGGAATGTCATGTCTGTGGCCCAAACCCGAAGGACAGGAGAAGCCCATCGAACAATCTCTTGACACGGACACAATCTTCCCGCGAGATGAATTTGACAGCCATCTACTGAGTTACCCCCCAAATGGTGCAAGGTACACACACATCAATGGAGATATACATACCCACGGGACGATTGCCAGTGTGCTTGCCATCGAGGACTAGATCGGTACAGCTAAAGACGCTATTCGACTGACAAAGAGATCTGTGAAGCGCACACAGAAAACTCCGTGGGGGTTCGCTCGCATACAAGTCCTGGCCTGTCATCTGTCGATCACGCATACTGTGCTCTTGCGTGCGCGCAGGTTAACAAAAGGATGGACTCCATAAAAACCACAGCACCCAGGATTACCATCTAGTCCCTCACGATGGTACTGACCGAGCGATATCGAGCTTAAAGCTGCCCAGAGCAGACGGAATAGCGCGTGTCCTCGATTCTATGGCCGTAGATGAAAGCTTATCCCTGCCAAATACTGAACCATGCAGCAGTTGACATTGTAATAGTAAGTGCATGATCACAGATATGGAGCTGTTACAATATCTAAATGACGCTTCTTGACATTCCTGCTTGACTCTGCATTGTCTTTTGCCATCGCCCAGAGAGGGTACACCCCACCTACCCGCCCCTACTCCTTCGAAGCCATATCGTAGTCTACCTTCTGATCCAGCGCCTGACCTTCTTCCTCCTCTCTCAAAGCTTCTTCCAGAATCTCCACAGCTCTGCCGATCTCCTCAAATTTGTTGTAGAGTACTACAGGACTCAATCGAATCACATTCGGCTGTCTCTCATCGCCCACCAACCCCTTCTTGACCAATCGCGAGAAAACATTGGGCATGACCCCCTTGCCCTCAGGTAAGAATGAAAGTGATAGCTGCGTGCCCCTAAACGGTGCGTCGGGGGTGATGATCTTGAATCCGACCGTGCCCTCTTCTACCACACCCGATTTAGGCGAAGAAGAAGGTCGATAGTATCTGCTCGACTTGAGTAATGTCTCGAGCGTACCAGTCAACCTCTTACTTTTCTGCACCATGTTCTCGAATCCGACCTTGCCGATCAGTTCGAGTGTCGCTAGTAAGGGGATTGAGGATAGGACAGGCGTGCAGGAGTGTTGATAGCCTTTGGCACCTGGTGTAGGAGAGAAGTCGGGCGACATTTGGAATCGAGTAGCAGCATCATTGCCCCACCATCCGGCGAGCCTGGAGCGGGCAACAAAAAGCAGCAGTCAGGAAGACGGTCTTCAAGACGTATGGTACAGCTGGGTGATGCTGCGGGTATCGCTCACCTTCTTCCATGATCATCAAGTCCTGTTCGGATGTAGAAACCCCCGATAGCAGCTGGACCGGCGTTCAAGTACCTGTTTCGCGATGCGCGACGATAAGCGACACTCTATTCGGCACAATTGACCAATGAGGTAGAGGCGAGAGACTGTATGAACGGATCTTTTTCACTCACTTGTACGTGCACCAAACGGCGAAATCCACATCCCACTCATTGAGCTTACACTCTACATTCCCAATTCCATGAGCCAGATCAAGTCCGAGCAAAGCCCCGATCTCTTTCGCTTTGGGGGAGATAGACGCGACATCGAAGAGTTGACCGGTGTAATATTGAATGAGTGGTAGCCAAACAATAGCGATCTGCAATTTGCGCCGTCGTTCTCCATTTAGCTAACGAATTCCTTGGCTGATATGGTCTTAGGAATATTGCAGATAAGATGATATTGGGGGCTTACCGTATCCTTGTTTTCCTCCAAAACTTGTAAGATGTCTTCGGTCCGGATGGTATCTTCGCCTTCTCGAGGGGAGAGCGGTATGATCGCTTCGTCGATCTGCTGAGGTGAAAGAACTGCGTCGTGCAATTTGGGGTGAGAGTGGACGGCGTACTATGTATAAATAAGCCAACCATAAAGCATAAAGGACATATCAGCTGGTTTCTCGAAACTTGTCATCGTCCAGATCCTCGGACATGGTCGCGCGTACGCCTGTATGCAAACCCAATCACTTGATTTGAGTGATTCATAAGGCCTAAGTGGGGGACTTTGACTCACCCAGTCACTTGGGAAACTGCCCTTCTCGATCACAATCTTCCATCTCCCCTTTGTCGGCTTATAAAAGCTCGTGAACAAGTTATGCATATTGCTCGTCAATGTCGACGTGTGAGCAACCTCACTCTCCTTTGCGCCGACCAAATTAGCCAAATGAGGGGTGAGGGGCGCATCGACGTGTTTCCATGGTCGGTTGTGGGGATGTTGGAAGTGGCCTGTGACGGTTCTTTTACCGCTTGACAATATTAGCAACCGAATCTCGAAGTTGGAGTTTCCAGTGAGATACAGACGGGAAGAGACAATCCGACATGGCAGAGAGACAACGGATCGGATGTCCCCAAAAAAGAGGACTGCGATCTGCATTGTTTGAGGTTTGAGAAGGGAATGGGAATGGGAATGGGGCTCACCTGGTGGACCATACGTCCAGTTCCTCCATCAGATGTTGTCTTGCCCGCTTGTTCAGCAATCCCAAGGAGTTTCCACAGAAGTAGATCGCTTCTCCCTCTGTGTGGTACCAAATCATCTATGTCAGCTTGTATCGCAGTTAATTCATACCAAGAAGCTGTTGAAGGCCCGGCTAGTATCTCCCCGCTTCATCATCGATAGGAGCACTCACCAGCATCACCTCCACATGCCTTAATCGAAGGAATCTCGAACTCGTCTCTCGTCCAATTCAGCGGATCTTCCTGATCAAGTTTCGCAAGGTCGGCCTTGCTCGGAGTCTGAGAGGCGGTCATATTTGGCTGAAATCGTTTGAGGTGTCTATCTGTGTCTGTATGTTGAAATAGCTAATCAAGATATGCCATCGAATTCTGACGCTTATATACCTGATCTTGATGCAGCATCATTTGTCCGGTAGCCCCGTTATCTGACCGAGCGATTCAATCCAGGCTCAAGCTACTTTAGGCCTAGGCACGAAGCGCGAGAACTTGAGAGCGGATGAAGGGAACGTGTTACGTAAGAAGCAGCACCCCTAAAGGAGGTCCGAGGGATGGCGAAGATGTGGTTGTTTAGTCTTCGATTGAGATCTCTACGTTCCGTTAATTGACAGAAGTATGATGCACTGTGCATCTTGAGGCTCTTTTGAGACAGCTAACAGCTCCACATATCTCTGCAGATGCAGATACGGACTAGACCAGACCAGACCAAACCAGACTAGACCAACAGAAGCAGGCCCACCCATCCTTCTTACCTGTACCTGGGGAGTGATATCATCCAATCACGATTTGACTCGATTCGGAAACCATAAAACGAACCTATTCGGATTTAGACACTTTCTGTTGAACACCCTTCTTTGGACTTGGATTGATGGAGAAGCCGATATAAAAAGACCCTCAAAAACTGACGACTCGACTCGACTCGCACAGATCATCGCCGAGACCCTGGGTCGGTCGGATCATGACATGATTGAGAGGGGAGGGGACACTAGCTGAAATGTGAAATGGTTATGCTGATGTGTGCCATTCGGACGTTACTGCTTCTCTTGTTGTCTTCTCACAGTCATTTGTCATTGGTCATTGGTCATTGATTGACCTTTGGCCACTGATCAGAAGCTGATCAATGCTGGATCTACTTTGAAGCCGGTCACCCGAACATTACTTCTCTCAACAAAACACACATCAGAGAGGAAAGACTTGCGACGACATGGGATCCGAAGTAGACAAGCTTGCACCGTATCCTGTGGGAAGGATCCCCGCACCGCTTTCCTGTCAACTAATGCAAGAGTGAGGAGTACTCGTACTCAACACACCAAAGCAGTAGATGGTGCATCATTTTCACCGCAGTGCATGAAGAGCGAGAAGCAGGAAGCAAGAAGCCACAGCGCACAGTATTCAACTCGTCCTTCTTCGCGAAGCATACTACTTTCGGTTCGTGCGCATCCTAATCTTGTCAGAAGCACTACGAGTACTTCTAATTTGGCTCTTTTAGCGAGATTCAAATGAAATCTATCAGACCTCCTTTCGCACGGCCTCGCTTGATCATAAGGACATGCGGGAATCAGGAGGTGAATTGAGCCGCTGAGATTGGGGTTTGGGGGTTTGGGGTATAAAAACACCGTGCTTACCACTTATGAAACGAGGGTTTCTCCCCGACTAATTCCACAGCTGCAACACTGCATCACTTCGTCGGTCGTCGGAGCACGATTCTTCGTCGACATCTACCCACGGAACCCAGTACGATTAAGCTATATAAGTCAGACATAACTGAAGCTACAGTACCAGGATCAGAGCCAATTTCACCACCTCCTCACTGTTCGTCATTGATTGATCGTACCGTACCGCACTCTACCGACAACACACCACATCACCATCCATCCATTATTGCAGTCTTTTTGCCACTTCTATCCCTTGCTACAGGTCAGTCAAGTCGTCATCGCCATCTACTGCTACTCTCGAAGAACCGCAGTCACTTCAAGCGCTCTGAATGAACGTCGCCGTAGGGTGTCGCGCTGCATAGCCAAGCAAGGTGCGATAACAACGCTGATACTCGTGCTTCTGGAATGATCATATCTAGACCGTCCGACGGTACAACTGACACCGACTGTCGATTGTCCATCATCCACACGCATACCCACACTCACGCTCACATCCTAAGCAGCCATATCCACCGGCCCAAGTCCCAACCCAAATCCAAGTTCAATCGGCAAAATGAAGCCCGGAGACACAGCCTACCCCCGACCTGCAGCTCCCATCTCTCCTCTCACTCCCGCTGGCGGCGCCAGATAGCCTTCTCGGATGCACGGCTGCTGGATGCGAGAAATTCAAGGGGGATTTATCGGTGAGTACAGCTTGTTTGTCTTACTGAGACTTTTGGATGTGTTTACTACCCATTTTGAAGGTGTTTGTGTTTCTTACATCGATGAGAATTCGGCTGACGCTGATAGAGCTCGTCATTGCAGAGATCAACCTCTATCTTCAACCTTGCCACCTCATCTTCTCCTGATCATCATCCCGTTCTGGGTGTAGATTGATTCTCACCGTGATCAAGTCAGAAGATAAAGCGCTCCTCTATCCCCAACGATTCTTCATACCATATCACATCGCATCACGTGGGGTGTGTACACAGGACATCAGTATTGTAGCATAGGACATAGCATTGTCAGATCAGATCAGAGAAATATCACTTGTAACCATTATCACAACCAAACAACCGAAAAGAGGGAAGGGCAGCCAGCTGGGTGTGGGAATTGTAACAGCGAGTGTTAATTGAAGATGATGTAGAAAGAAAGACAGATAGCAAGTCAAGTGAGGAAAGAAGGGGGCCGCGGGGAAGACGCAAAATCACCAGACAAACTTAAACAAAAAGAGAAAGATGATTGTTACGAAGATGCATGAATTCATTGGAAGCAGACTCGTACTGGTCCGTCGTGGTCAGACCTATCCACAGGGCAAACGGTGCCGAT